GAAAGTATCTTTAAAACAATGCTATGGCCATAACCTGTGACAAATTTTGTAATGGATATAGTCTGTTTTGTTGTAACCTGAGTCTCAATGAAGGATGCGGAGATCATGTCGTTCATTAAAAATGGCAACGTTAGATTAGAGGCTTGTTTTAGAAACCCCCTTGAGCATTCAATAAATGCAGTTATTTGGGCCACATATGACTCTATAATCAAGATATCATCAAGACAGGTTCTCATTGACTTCTTCTAATTTTAACAGTAGCATGAATACAATAGAATTGTCAAAAGGTCTTGATAAGGTGGTAAAGTATCTTTCTAGGACTATTTGCTAGTGATCAGCTTCGTAAAACAGTTATTAAAAAGAGAAATACAGACCTCTCTTACCTGGGCGGACAACACTGGGTTGCCATCTATATTAACAAGCAGGGCCGGGGATCATTCTTCAGGCAGGTCAGAAAGCAGGTCAGTTCTGAGTCTGAAATCATCAGCCCTGAGGAGAACTTGTGGCATCATCATAACAATCCATAAAAACATTACTCTTACCAGGAAACATTTGTTGAGCCATTGGCACGACTTGAGTATTTATCAGTGGGATTTTTAAACAAAACAAGATAATTGGTATTCAAATAAATAGTACGACTAACTTTACCATGAAAAAACATTCTGAACTAAATTTAAACTTAAATTTATGTGATACACATTTTGGACCTCAATGTTATTGCATTTCATTTCATTCCATTTCAAAAACCGTAATGTAAAGTCCTCAGATTAGAAAACACCCGCTGTTTGGTGTATACCACTTGGACTTTTGACAACTGTTTTATTTTTTTAGATCAAAAGCTTTTTATTTTTCACTATAGTGTCTGATTTTGTCATTACGTTTCGCGGCGTCTTGTCAGAATTCACAAACTCATGTACAAGATCAATCAAGGTGTCATATGTGAAAATGGACTAATTGTGAGAAGTTAGTGTTATGCCTTTGCATTTAAGCTCTGCTTTGTTGTTCAATGTGCAGTAAGCATAACATTTTGGGCCACCTGTGACAAATTCCACAATATAATCCTCCTCATCAGTAAGATCTCATAAATGGGGACCTCTCTAAGGGGTCCAGTCACCGTCCTTGGCCATTTCTTTTGGTCTTCCTGTGGAGTGTCCGTAGTGACCTTTTTACAGCTAGAGTGGTCGGATGGTCCCAGAATAAATGGTTTTAAGTCTGCCAAGTCTGTTTGATATTGTGCAGTCCTTATCCACACAACCAAAGCAGAGTCCTTCCTTTGGATTTCACAAAGGCCAATTCTTAAGGAATGAGGCCTCCCTTGGTAAATCTGATCTCACCTCCTCTTGAGGTGAAAGACTGTTTTCACTGGTTGATTCACTACAGTCCCCCACTCGAACAGGTGTTCGCTCAGATAGGGAAGGTCGACGATAAAGAACAACCAGTGTGGTTCGTCATGTGCTGGTGAGGTCGAAGGAGTCAAGCAGAGCAGGTGGCAAAACACATCTGTGATCAGGTTGATGTACTTCTAGGGAGCTACTAGTTTGGCTAGACACTTAGGGTAACCCTATTCATAGTAGTCTTAAAGTATCAGGTGCTTGCTGTCTTGCTTAATCTCCTAATAACAATAAAGCAGAAATAAAATTTTTGGGAAAACAAAAAACTGCCGAGTTGTGTGTGAGCTCGGCCAACATTGTGTAGTGTACCTATGTGGGCTACTGTTAATAAAATTATGAATATTAATATTCTGAAATATTTATTCATAGACTCGTTTTCGGGGCACCACCTAAAGATTTGCTGTCCGCCCAAAGCTTTAGGAACCTTGAGTATAGCTTAGTAATTGCACAAATTTCTGGTAATTTCTTAGTAATTAATGATTCAAAATCGTTGAGTTAATCAGTCAGTCTCAAATCTGAGGGCGAATCCTCTGTACAGGGACCGAGGACGCTAAACAGTACACACATACAAATCACAATAATCAAGGGGAAATTTATTGACTAACTAAAAGAAGTACACCAGTGTGAGTAAATATGGGAATATTATAGGAATAACAGTCAAACATGAAAACAAACCATAATATAATGACAGAATATGCAGTAAGACCAAAATCAGGATAATAGGCTCAATGGAATTTCAGTTTGGTATTGTGGAGAGAGAATAATTTTAAGGGAATAAGGGAACGAATGATGTAAGATATGTTGCAAATTGAGTTTAAATAAATTAGGGGTTTCTTCACTAGGATTAACTATAGGACACCAACCAGTCACAGAACGTAGTTTGTTTAAGCCTTACCTTTGTCGTTTTCCCCCTCTGGCCAAGGCTCGCAGTCGGCTGGCTCGTTCTTTGGTCAGACCTCCGGGGGCTAGCACGCTACCCAGCTCCTCGGGCAAGTTTTAACCGATGGATTGTCCCTGACTGACTGGAGGTTGTGAGAAAGACACTAGTACACACATTAACGAGCGGTCCGCCCTGGCTTGCCGCTCTGAGTTCGGTTGGTGTCGCTACAGCTTAGTGAAACGCACTCCAACTCTGTCGTTGGAGCAGCAGCTTAGTTCAACCCGAGATGAGGATTGAAAGAACTTTCTGGGTTTCTGGGTCAAAAGTTGCGTAAAACGGTCGGATAACTTAAAACAACATATTCAAATAAGACACATACATTCACCGTAGTTTCGCAAGGCCCAGAGAATATAGGCTAGTTAACGTGGCTGAGTTTAAACAAAAGTCTGGGGAAAGTTTCTTCGCAGGCAGCTCCAAACAAATGGTCAAAATCAAATCTTCCGCTAAGAAAAAGGGGATTCGGAAATACGGAGCTTTCTCAGGTCGTTTGGAAGGAAGCTGAAAGTACGAAAAGAACAGGATCAGAATTGCAAGGGAGTTACAAGAAGATTATTTTTATTTTGTGTTCTAAGGCCTTCCAGCGCCAGTCACAGATCACCACAGATCTGGTGCTGTGTTATTGGGAATAAAGGTACAACATTGATCACCAAACATGGCGCGCACACACCTAATTTTTCGGCTAACAGCATATCTAGGGCCATCCTATTCTGCACCGTCATTAGCGAGGTTGCTGCTAATTGTTCTGATAGTCCAGCTACTGCATCTCTAAAGCCTAAACACATTGTAATGAATGTAGTTAATTCTATCCACATTCGTATTGGGTGTCACATGGAATAGTGCTCCAATAATAGGGATGTTGTCAAATCCAGTCGCAACCTGATCTACCAAAAATCGGCAACGCCAGCCTAACCACAGCACACGTGCCACCCCATGTAGAGGGTAGACTGGTGTGCAAAATGTCCTTCCCTCAATACCAAAACAGATCAGCTCGTCCCCAGACCATTTTGCTGGCATTTCTGCATTGTGTGACATTAATGACAGTTTCACACCATGAGATATCAATTTGTCCCAAATTTGTGACATCGATTCTAGTGAAACAAGTATAGTTACACAGGAGCTATGTAACACAGGAGAGATAGTTGAATTCTTTACAGGAGGGAACATAGCACTGAGGGTGGTGCAATTTGGTGGGCTAGCTTGCATGGTCATTGTCATCATGCAGTGGAAACCCTGGGGGTCTGAATCAGGAAATAGTAGTGCTGGTGTAGTAAACAAAGTTGGTCTCGTGGAGGAGCACAATTGGTTAGATTCATGGAGGCAGCTGTAGCTGCCATCCAGTCTAGCCACAAGTTTTTGCCTCCAGATCTGGTTGCCAATTGCACCATCTCACTTCAAGTCAATGTGGAGTAATTAATGCATTGTTGCATTGTTGCTGCATTGTTCAGCGGCTGTGTCCTTGTCAGGTGTACTAATTGCTATGTTACTTGTGGTGTTTTTGCTGGCATTCGGTTCCCTGAGATTCACTTTAATCAATCCCATGGAATCGATGGCAGTTAGATCTACTCCTATTACCACATATAAACTTCACTCAGACCCAACAGACAGAATCAATGGGTTTTTTCCTTGTGCATCCGGCTGAAACTTTCCCCTTACTAGCCCCATCTGATCTCTCACACACACCTTCCTGGCTGCACATGGACGCGGCTTCCACATGATCCCATGACGGACACCATCGGTACCAGTTTGTTAGTATACAAACATACACATCATACCCCCTACACAATTGCGGTTTACCCCCGCAGTCAATTGTCACACAGATCGATTTCAAATACAGTCTTGTTCCCCAATTCATCTGGACACCCCCTTGTATGGCTAAACAAAAATCTTTTTCCTTACTGTTAGGGAGAAGTGACCTGGTAGATCTATTCAACTGTGTTATACTCATGTGTTCTGCTGGTTTTTTGGTACCCCTGCCTCTCAGACCGTCCTCCCACCATAATATTGGTACTACAATCATACATGCAATTAATGAAACAATACACAAAAACCATCCCCTTTGGAAGAGCCCCTTGTCTGGGATGTACATCGTTCTGAAAAACAATATCACACAAGATTATAATAAAAAATAAAACAAGCACACAAAATAAATGAATCAAAGATATAAGTAAAAGCTAAATCCTTCAAGAGTTCTTGGACTGTCCTCTCACATGTATCCTGGCAAAACTTTTCCCAGGAGAGTACTTACTTACACCCCGCTCACCTGCTTACCAGAACCTCTTCCGCTATAACTTAAAGGTAATAAATCAAAAAATGAATCAAAGGAAATGGATTAAAGTGAGTTCAATGTGTCTCTGAGTTCATTGAGTCTCTCTTATCTGTTCAAGGGTCCTCGTGGGAGGATCTGTTGTCTGCTGCACACTGGCTCCAATGGTACCAGGATTCTCCTTTCCTGTGCAGCTTCACTGCATGCGAAGTCCTCTTTCACCTTGTAGGGTGCTGTCCACTTTGGCTCAGACCCCTTCCTCTTGATCACCTTCAGTAGAACCTACTCCGTGGATGGCGAATTTTTGCTTTGATATTCTGATTCATCCTCTCCATTTTCCCTTGAGATTGAGGATGATACACTGTACCAAATGCATGTTTCAGCACTAATGCACTGTAAGCCCGAACAGTACTACTAGCTTATAAAGACTGAGGTCGCTACAGTTAAAATCTCTTGCTGAGTTAATCCACCTTTAAACTATTAATGTCTATAAACAAATATGTATTTTTGTATTTACATGGCTCAGCATTTCTGAGTGAACACCGCTGGTTCACTCAATATTTTTAAGTGTACTGTCGATCACGTGATATGACGTCATGACGTGCCATCCTAACTGACGTTACCTGAAAAATCTATCCAAGATGGCTACCCTCTCGAGCAATGTGGTGTCTATGCGTGGTATCAAGCATTAAACTTTAAGGTAAGCCAAAACACTTCGAAACTACTTTGCTTGTTGTAACATTGGGAATATCATATTTCACGTGATATTTGACTGTTAGACGATGCTATTTTTAATATAGCCTATAAGTTGCTAGCGCGCAGCCTCACGGTGCCGTGCACGTTTTTTATGCGCCGAAAGCGCCAGCGCCATTACGTTACCGTCAGTCCGCCTGCTAGTGAGTGTTAATATCATGTGTACTGTTAATGTCGCGGCTAGACAATTATGTTAATGTTAGTCAATAACTCTTTTCAGCAAGCGATAGTCCTTCCGTTTTTGAGTGTGTTGCTACTGTTTGTGTTAAGCGCCCTGCTTTGGTAAGTTGAATGTGATGTTATTTCTAGCTAACCTACATGCACCCAAATGAGCTAGTGGCTAAAGTTAGCTGTAACTTTTACTCAACGTTAAGGTTATGGGTTAATAGTTAACGTATCATCTCTGCAAGTTTTCATTAAACCTTTACAAACGTCTTTTCATTATAGGTTGAAGTGGAAGAACTACAGAAAAGTGCATCCTCCAAAATCAAGGTGACTCAAATGTTAATTTAGGATGTAACCTATTTTTCACCATTTATTTTATTTGTGTTCATTTAAAAGTGTAGGAAGAGCGGAAGCTGACATGCTCTGTATGATTTCATAATATCAAAGCATATAGCAAATAAGACCCCATGTATTTTGAAATCTGATAACATTATTTCACTCTTGGTCATAAAGTGCTTCACTGGTTGGGGGGTCATCCCTTGTCTGGATCAGTTATTTTATGCAGTCAGCAGTGAATTCATGGACACTGAAGACTTTGATCGATTTTTTGCAAAGTGAGTTGTAATAGTATATAAAACACACTCTTTGCCAATTATTTTTGCTTTATATTGAATGGGTTTCCTAATATTTTGTCCACTGCTTTAACATACAAGAAAGGGGCAAAATATTAGGAACACCATTCGATATAATTCACCCCACTATGCCACCACCATGTATTACAACCTCAGTAATAAATATGAAGTAGAATTATCACCTTTCTGACAATGTCAACAAAAACTGAAAATGTATAAAATTCATAAACGTAGAATTTAAAGGAGAGCTGTTGTATTGGACTGCATTGGGTTACACACATGCACCTGATGAAGTGGCCAGTGAGTGTACATGCAGTTGTTGTGTTTCTTCAAGTTAACCTAACAGTTGTATCCTCTGTGTCTTTCAGGTGGAGGAGTCAGATGAGCCATGCATCGACACTCCTGTTGCTCTTGTCACAGTCACAGAGGACACTGCAGATCCAGTTCATTTCAGTCCTGCAAGTATTTCTATTGTTGTGGAAGACGATGTTGTGATGAGTGATATCCCTAACTTGGCTGATGCATTTGCATTGTTGTTTGGGTTAATGTATGCATTGCATTTGAACTATCCCAAGAAACTCATTCACACTTTCACATTCATCCAGAAAATCCTAATGGGTCTTGATGATGGTAAACCACTTAAACCCTGCCTACTGAGTCTCAAAAATGACCTGTTAATGAAAGAGTAGGCTAACTTAAGAGTAGTGTTTACACATGTATTTTCTTGTCTGCATGTTGATGTGTTTTGGGGGTTCCCAGTATGGTAACTTTATAGTATGTTGTTGAACACAATGTTACTCAAAGCATTTGAAACTGTTTACATATGGCAGATTATGTCTTGCCCACCAAATCTTTTAATTTACTTTTTTTTGTATATTTTTTTATTCCATTTTCACTTTGATTGCTGTTACTAATGCTGTTTTAATAAGCATTTATTTTCATACTTTTTATATTAAGCACTTTGCTTAGTTCCTGATGATCTTGTTCCTGTTCAATATGTAGAGATACATATGTACACAACACACACACACACACACACACACACACACACACACAGAGACACACACACACACAGAGACACACACACACAGAGACACACACACACACACAGAGACACACACACACACACACACACCACACACACACACACACACACACACACACACACAGACACACACACACACACAGAGACACACACACACACACAGAGAGACACACACAGAGAGACACACACAGAGACACACACAGAGACAAATGCACAACCATACACTAAAACATACATATTTGCTGTGTCCATGTAGGTTTGTAACTAAATATTTTAAGAAATTTCACTGCTTAACAGGCTTACAGCTTTTGGGTAGGTGGTGAAACTGTGACTTGAGTCACATGGTTAGACACCTGAGCTAGAACAGAGTTTTAACTGTTGACTGCTGTTGATGTTCTGACATGTTTGTATAAAAATTAAGACTGAATAAAAGAAAAAAGAAAATGTACAGCTGAAGTAATTTTTTTTTTTGTAGTTTTAACTTGTAAATTTCATTAGCTTGTGGGTTATACACAAGCATATTTTTTAGTACCATTGGATCAAAATAATGAAGTATGGAGAAACAAAAAATGTGCGAGTGTTAAACAATATTTTTAAGCATAGTGCACTTAAAAAATTAAGTTACTTACCTTTAAATGTTTAAGTTTGATTAGATTGTAACTTTTAAAAAAATCTTACTCAAACATTTAAAGGTAAGTAACTTAATATTTTTCAGTTAGATTTTTTTAAAAGTTACAATCTAATCAAACTTAAACATTTAAAGGTAAGTAACTTAATTTTTTTAAGTTTGATTAGATTGTAACTTTTAAAAAAATCTAACTTAAAAATATTAAGTTACTTACCTCAAAAGTTATTATGTAATCAGTTTCTACAAAAGTTTTGAGTACTATGAACTTATTGGGGTTTACAGTGTGCTTTCTCTACAGCCTATAGGTCTTTTTTATTTTAAATGTGTCAATGTGCCATTGTCTGACCTTATTCTCTTTGGAAATTCATGCATTGGAATGTACTGATTAATGAGAAATATCACCGCTGTTTTTGCATCCTCTGACTTTGCAGGTACTGCTTCTGTCATGGATTGGGGCGCTGAGTGCAGACTGGGGCGAGGACCCAAATGCAGACAATGGCAAGGCGAGGAGGTTGCAGTTCAAAAATGTTTATTAATTCAAAAAACTAACTTAAACAGGCTTACAAGGAGCTCGAGGCAAAGTCCAACAAAGGTACTCCAGAACACAGGGAATAATCCAGAACAAGGAAGACAAAGGAACAGGCAGGAACACTCAACTTTAGACGCAAGGACGTGACAAAGACTGGAGAGACAAGCAGGCATACATATACACAGGGACTAACGAGCGGGGCAAGTGAGCGGGATCAGGGCTAACGAGGCAGAGACAGAGAGACAGCAGGGGGAAACAGAGAGAACACTAGACACGCAGACATGGGGCAGAGTGAATAACCAAGAAGACAGAAACACACACAAGTTACCAAGAACCAGAACCTAAACGAGAACACAGAACTAGAACACAGAGTACACAGGAGACCAAATCACAATAATACAAACAAGGACCAGGAATGAATACCAAAACATGAACTAAGGACATGGAACTAAACTCAGACTCCCAAACAAGACACACAGACAGGATCATGACAGCTTCTGGCCAGCCAGTGTAGGCATCCACTGCTGCCAACAGATACCTGTACCCATTCACCCTTTCCACCATGTCTGTGTAATCAATAATTTCTTTCCCTGGCATTTTTGGTAAGGGAAATTCACCCTCATGCGGTTTGATTGTTGGTCGAACATTGTATCCAGTACATATGTGACACTCAATCATAGCTGGTTGAAATGGGTGCCACCAGTGGGTTAAATGTCTTTGCATTGGTGCTTTTCCACAATGCGTCAACCCGTGTGCCTCCTATTAGAGCTATTAGTCCAGAATGAAGAATTTGTTGGCCAAGTCCATACATGTAAACCACTGGTGTTGTGGTGACAGAACAGACATTGCAGTATATGGATTAGGCACAGGTACTGTTTGAGTGGAAACAATTGGATTAATCCTACGTAAATCATGAGCCATGCGATATTTGCCAGTGTTCTGCTTCTCTACTGGCAAGATAGGTGTGTTCCACTGTGACTGAGATTCCTCCAACACCCCTGCTGCTAACAGTTCCTAAATGGTGTCTGTTATTCCCTCCTCAGCTTGTTGCTTATGTGGATACTGCTTCTGCCAGATAGGAGTACAATCCGAGAGGTCACAGGTTGCACATAAATGCAGTGCCCTACATCTGTAGGGCCTGCTGACCATAACGCAGAGCGAATTTAACATTGCCTCTGCGCTTGATGGTCTGTTCTTTCCCTACCATGGATCCTTAGCCTATAGCTAAAGTGATTTGGGGTACAGCTTCACCCTACAATTTATACCATGTCATCTATTCCTCAGTGAGTTCAACAACCGCAGCCACGCCTTCTTTTCCCACCAGGATACAACTAGAATTAATATCCCAGTTGAGGTCAATGATTTAATTGAAAAATGCCTGCTGATAAATTTCATCCCCGTCCCTATCATAGAAAAGGGTCACATGGAGGGGATCCAAAGGAGGGGAGTAGGGGTGTAGCTTTAGGATCCAGGGTCACCAGTCTCAATACAAGTGCTGTATTCCTCCTGCACATGCAGGATCAGTTGTCAGTAGGCCCCAATATGTCAGCCCATATTCCTGGAGCTGTAGGAGACAGCAACATCTGAGAATTTGATTGCATTATAGAGATCGAGCAATTCACAGTATAACCATTAGGAAAATTCACCACCAGCCCTTGAGGTCCATACAAAATGGATGCACCGCATTTGATAAGCACATCTCTTCCCATCAGATTTGCTGGGCATAAGGGAGAAGAAATATGAGTGCATAAAAGTCTGATCTGCAACTCTGGTAGGTAGAGGTCTGGCGAATGGCAGGTTTTCCCGAGAATCCAACTAATTCCACTCTTGAGGATGACAGCTGTGATTTAGGCACATCACAGTTGATGGTGGAATAGCATGCACAATAAATGGCAGTTCATCATTTACCCTCATACGCAGGTATGGGTCTGTCAGACCTACCAGCTGTGGGGTTCTCGGGCCTCTTCAGTACTGTTCCCCGTGCTCAGTCCAGTCCACTTGGCCCTGGGGAGCTGCTGCTGCATATTGCGCCTGATGCTGAGGTGGTTGAGGTGGTGGACCTTGAATGGACATGCGTTCTTCCAGTGATTTAGATCACCACAATTAAAGCAGCCATTGTTTTGTTGATATCCCCTGAATCCTCAGCGACCCCTGAAGCCCAACGATAAGGAGGGTGAGTCGGGACCCACGGTGGTGTGAGATATAGGTCAGGAGTGGGTGCACCACTGATGGGTGGCTGCTGCTGTTGAACCATCTGAGTTTCAGACTTTCTGCCTTCTTTCTTTGCCTCATTTGCCTTTTTTCTGGCTTCCTGCAGTTGTAAATTTAACAGCTGTACCTGAGCAGAGTCTAAGTCACCTTTTTGTTGAGCATGCTTATCTCTGTAACTTTTCAAGTGATGAGTCAGGTGACTTCTTTTACCTGCTGTGGGATCCCTGTCATTACTGCTTTTCGAAACAGCATAGTCTGCAATTCACTGGAGCCTGGATGTGCTCCTGCAGTATCTGTCCACTCTTCGTTACGTCTGCTCAGAAAGGTTGACACCGGTTCTTCTGGTTTTATGGAAAGCGTTAGAGTATGCATTGCTCCCACTGGAGCAGGAAATTTCTCTTGCATAGATCTCTTGACTATGTCAGTGGCACAACGGCCAAACAATTCATAGTCTGGTAACCCGCCTGTACCTGCGACATTCTCAATTTTATCCACTTCCCACATCGTCACCTGTCTCCCAATTAAGGCTCTCCAGTCTCCCAAACCCAGCTTGTGACCCAAAGTGAATTTGCAAAATTTAT